TTATGCGAAGCTGAACTATCAGTTCTTCTTTGTACTAAGTTTCCATGGATCTACAGAGGAATTTGAGAAAACAAAGAAAAGTTTGCTCTGCTGTTGCTTTGATTATTACAGCATAAAACCAACAATGCTACATTAAGGGAAAAAGAGAAAGAGTTTGCTTTAATATTAATATGGGAAAGAGGTGAGAAAGCAAAGGAAAACACAGGGACCAATGAAGAAATAAACATCCCTAAAAAGGAGCCACTGGAAAATCATTGCTTGCCTTTCCTGCATGGATAGAAAAGATGGAAAGGACAAGATTCTTCCCATACCGCATCCACCCATGGTCCACAGCACACATGTCCCATAGCACTCACTGCCCAAAACATCCAACCGCACTCAGTAGCTGCCAGCTGCAGCACCCATACTCCAGAGCACCTCCCCTAAGCTCCTGCTTACCTCCCCTTAGTACCTGTGCACATGTACACATGTGTGACATACAGGTCTGGTTGCCTAGGATTTCACCTCTATCCACATTGCAGTCACATGAGGTTTTCACTTAATGACCCACACTGTCCTGGGATTATGATGGCAACCAGGAATGCTGAGTTTGCTATAACTAAGTGATGCAATCACATGATATTACACTTTTATGACATCATTTAGCAACAATGGAAATTCCAGTCCCAAATGTCATTGTAATCCAAGGATTACTTGTAGCTGAGTGTCATTATTGCACTTTTAAAAAACTAAACACTGATAAAACCTTGGGAATCCTGACCTAGCTAACAGTTTACATTTAAAAAAAACTTATTAAATTAAAAACAACAGTGGCATGACATAAACAAGGGTATTAACCTCTCATGTCATCTTTATTTCCATACAGTATACTTTCCATCTCTTTGTGTTTCTATTTATATAGCTGACTTCAGTTTAATGAAGTTTCTCTTCGACAAATACTGTAATGTCTATTGTAATCTACAAATGAATATTTAAAACTGGAGTCAAGCATTCTTGAAATTTAATTAAATAACTACATATTTGGTACTTCCTCTGTAATGGTAGAATACATATTAATAATATCAGTATGAAATATTTGGGAAGGCCTTAAAATTTGTACTAACATGCAGCAGGAACATTCCTAAAGTGTAGCATTTCAAGCTATTGAAACATATTTTTTATATTTAGTAAAGACAAACATTTTGATCCAGGAAGGAGACTGTTCAAGTTCATTAACAAAAAAATTCCATTTCATTTAGGGCCCACTCTTAGCATATTACATATATGATTATAATTACAGATGAGATTTATAAAGATTCCATCAATTGCTTTATTTGAATATTCTGTGAACCTATTTTCTTTTTAAAGGGTCATAGTTCCCTGTACACAAGTATAGCTCATCACATGAAATTCATTCCAACGTTTCTATACCCCTCAGGGAATTACTGTTTCATATGATGCATCATTAGTTAAATATTTACATTTGTGGTTTTCAATCAACCTTCTCTCTTGACTAAGAATTGTATTTGGGGAATATTACTGGTAGTTGTTAATGCTGCCATTAACTACAAGAGTTTTACATGTTTCAGTATATATTTTTTATTTTCACAGGGCAGAATCCTATCTACATTTAACTTGAAAATAATTCCATGTAAAGACATGACGAACACCTTCTAGATTGATGTATGTAAAATAATTGGGAACTGATCTGATTTTTAAAATAGATTTTTAAGAATCCCCTAATTTTCTTTCAAATAGTAAACAAAACAATTTCAAATATACTTTTTAAAATGGTTTTTTGCTCCCCAAAATTATTTAAAATGTCAACTGCTTCTTGTTGCCTGCCTCTTTGTTGTTTTTTAAAATCATAGTGTTTTGATGACAGACTATCCAAAAGAATCATGAAGTCAATACGCTTGCCAACATGTAATTTATCTACACAGTAAAATTATATTAATCATTATACACTTCAGAAAAATACTCATATAAAATTAGGTAATGATTTTATAGTGAAAAAAAAACAATTGAGATATTCACACTATCTCTGGATTTAAAGTTACTGATGATTTGATGATTAGTTTGGTGTGCTGGAATTTTGAGAGCAGACTATGACTATTCTTACAAAATAACTACTATGTAAGAGGGCTTTGTTGCATCAACATTGACTAATTGAATAAAGTCACATATTTAAAGCCTTATAAAAGGCTAGTAGGGTCAAGGCCACTCTGTTCTCCCCAGGATGATGTTCCAAAGGGCAAGAAAAAAAGGGCTCTCTTCCTAGTCCATGACAAATGCCATTCCCTTGTAGACGGACCTGAAGCATGCCTCTCCTGCCAGATCTAATGGGAGATCTAACTGGGTAGGGGTGATTCCTCAAATGAATGTGGAGGAACTTGACTGAGGCATGGTGGAAATGCTTAGGAAAAGATTCCTCCAACCCCACCCTTTATCATGTGAAATGGAAGGCAGATCTTCCCGGGAAATACAATGTGTTTAAGCTAGTAAAATAGCTGAGGGGAAAAGCATTTAACAGTTATAAAGGTAAAGGTTTTCCCTTGCCCAGTCATGTTCGCCTCTAAGGGGTGATACTCATCTCTGTTTCTTAGACAAGGAGTCAGCACTGTCTGAAAACACTTTCTTAGTCATGTGGCCAGCAAAAATGAGTGCTGGTTAAAATCTTTGTTTATAATAACTATTGTATCTAAAGTTAACCGTCACTGTGGAAATTCAATATATTGTGTTTTGATGAGGATAGACAAAGCTTGGATCTGTCCCATGTTTACGGCCTCATAGCTTTTATGAGATTCTTTTAAGACCATGTCTATTATTTTATTAACACAGTTTTCTCATTACTTTTTTCCTTCATGTGAATGCCTCAGTTTAAAAAGTTTTTAAAGTTTTTAAACAGTATAATAAGAAATGGAAGGAAGAAATTCAGAGCCTAGCGTAAGAATGAAATCCTAAGGGGAAATCCTAAGGGGAAAATATGAAGATA